AAAAAACAAAAAACAAAAAAAAAAAATGGGTAGAATGAAGCATCAGTAAAGACAGAACATTAAAAAGGTAAAAATACAAAGAACCTAAGATTGTTTTAATTTTGGAAATGCATTTTGGATTAAAGGTATTTTTTCAAAAGTTAATTGTATTTCAGTCTGCTATACATGGTTAATCACACAGCTTGCTTCTGACCTACCTCATCATCTCTCTGCCTTTGGAGCAAATATAAAATGTCACTGTTTTAGAATCTCTTCAAACATTGGTGTGATTTAGGTGATGGACAGAGTCATTCCCAGATCCAATCTCCTGACCTAGACGGGACAAAAATGTAACGAAAACATTTTCTGGGAGCCGACAAGGGTCTGAACATTTCTCATTGTGTGGCCTCCCTAAACCCTAATAACATTTCTTTTATCCAGAACTCTAAGACACACAGGCTGGGGGCCAAGTTACACAGATACTTTTGTGCTTCTCCCAGTCTCCATTGACAACTTTAATACCTGGCAAATTAAAAGCCAGAGCATCCATGGAGTCAGCTGACAAGTGTCAACAGGAGTGGGTAATAAAAGGAGAAATACGTAAACAAACAGTGAGGCAGAAAGGTGGCTCTGTTGCTTCTGTCAGATGTAAAATTTATCTAAAGACCATGGAGGGAGTGGGGATACAGGGTCAGCTGCCAACTGTGTGGTATTTAGAGGCAACTCCCACTGGTATTTTTCTCTGGACCAGGGAAAAAGAAAATAATTTAGATTTTGACATTAAAAGTTTACCACTGTGCTGGAACTCTCAAGATTGTAGTTTATTTTAGTCTTAAGAGGCAACCTAGCAATTAGTGACCTGAACTGCCAAACAAGAGATTGGGTTCAACTCCAGTCTGGATTTACAGGGCCAACACAGTGGAGTTTACATATGTGGCTGTGGATTGGAGTTCATTTCAGAGATGCAAGAGGCAGCCTAATAGTTAGCTACCTCCGTCACCAGGCAGGAATCCTGGAGTCATTTTCTCAGTCCAGGGATGAGCAGGAGGTACCAATATTACAGTGACCACTACAGTGAATTGAAAATCAGCCATGGTGTGAAAATGGTGTATCTCCCAAACTTGGTAGGAATTGTACCTGTCTGTATTGTGGTAGAATTTGCCTCAAAATATCGGGATTAAAGAAGTGCCTTAATAGATTAAGACATGCAAAATATAATTTAGCACACACCAACTCATCACACTATAGACAATGACATAGGGGCATGACTATGTGGCAGTGCACAAAGATACAAGCCAATACATTGCCACAGCAAATATATTCCTTAAATATGCCCTGGTAGACTTCTAGAGCTATTAGAGCAATATCATTGAGTCAGACTGAAATTATGGATTATTGCAAAAAGATGCTGGTTAAAAAGTGCTAAACCTGGTAGAGAAGTTCAGAGAGCCACCATCAAGGTCTGATTTCTTATCAAAACCATTTCCATATCAACTAAAACTCTTTTGCAAAAACACTTTGAATTCCTCAAGTAGGGGGTTGTTTCAGGGTAGTCTACAACAATATAGCTACCTTGCTTGTAAACAGGTGAACTTCTTTTCAAGACCACCTTGTGAATGTACCTAACAAGAGGAGACCCACACTCCCTTAGGATTCTGCATGTCTGCTTTACCCAACAGGGGTGCTATGGGGTAACAGTGCCTCTTCTCTCCATGAGCCCCTACAGTAAAAGAAGGCTTACCTGACAGACTTCTCAACTCTTAGCTGACAGACTGCTCAATAATGTAGTAAACAAGAGAAATTTGCCCTACAGTGTATACAAGGTGCACTCTTACTTCCCATATAGTTCCAAATTGAAGTCCATCATAGATTATTCATTAATCCCATCTTTTACTGCACATACAGAAAAATCATAGCCCATGGTTCTGATTTCAGAAAAAGTCAGATCACACTGAGCTGGTGTCAGAACAAGGAGAAGGAATATCATCATCTGTACGTGACAGGAGCATTTGTAGCTAGGATACATTCAGTGCACTTAAGGGTGGTCAGGCAAAAAAGACAGAGCATCAGGTCTCCTCTGGGTTTTATCTTTAGACTCATTCCTTAGCACCTTTGGGTATCTCACTAACTCATCTTTTCAGCACCCCATCTGTAAAATGTTACCTACCATACAGGGATACTCTGAAGTTGTATTCATTAATAGGTGTAATGTACCTTGGAGATTAGAGAATGACCAACATGAAGCTAATGAAAGATAAGGGCAAAATCCTATAAGGAAAGTGTCTATATCTTGTATCGTTTGCCTTTGTGTTCAAACAGGCGGAGAGCTGTCAGCAAGAGCAAAGAGTCCATTCTATCTGAGCACGAGCGTGAAGCTGTGAAATACCAGCCAACAGTGCAGGTCGAAGAGGACGCCTTGGATTTCACACTGGAAGACTCAGTTCTTCTGCCAATGGATCCAAACCTGGAATGTCACAGTCCACCACCAGATTACAACTCCGTCATCCACTACTCCACCCCTCCAGTGTAACGAGTCCAGTCCAAGCCAGGTCCTGTTGCGCCTCTTTCTACAATGCTGGATTCTAACGTTCTTCCACACTTGTACAGGTTGTTTAAAGGGACCAGAGTTAAAGGGGAGAAGGGAAATCTCTCAGCACATAGGTTGATATGTCCCTTTTTGATGCATCCCTTTGTGAATGAAACACTTTAAAAGCAGTTACAGCACTACCTTAAAGGCATATTTCAGTTTAGCCAGTCAATTAACATTCTACATACTAAAAGAAAAAAAAAAGCTGTGGCCCCTGCTCCTTCCGCTCCTCCCAGGATTTCTCAGTGGCAAATGCAGATATGCACGTTAGTTCAGGAGCATTCTGCTCATTCCATATGAACCACTGAGGAGAGCAAAGTTGAATATAATGTTGAATCAGCCATGCCTGTGCCCTGCAAGGATTACACAATAGGTGTTGTTGGGGGATCGCTAAAGAACGGCTGCTACAAACTTTGATGTGGATTTGGGGAACAAATGTAAAATTCAAGATTATTGTTTTAAAAAGTGATAGGGATTTTATTGTCCCTCCCCAAATGCATTTGAAATAGCCACACATGTTTTGCTTAAAGCTGGTAATCTAATATTGTGTACGTGCTGTGACATCATGTTTCTGTTTACCTTCTGAATACCAATGTCTCTAAAAGGAAGCACTCCCTCCGGAGTCCATGGCTGATGCCAAGCACAGTTTGATCTCTGGGATGCCAGCCTGTACCAAACTGTGATACTTCAGTGTGCACCTAGGGAACAGTCTGACCCCCTTGCCAAGGTAAACATCAGTGTGGCATACAATGCCCCCTGCACCCAAACTCTGCGCGTGCCAGTCAGAGCTCTTAGAAGTCTAATCGTCAGAGCCGACTGGATCACAGATCTGCAGAGCTAACATTTGAAAGAGAGCTCCCCCTCTTCCCCCGCCCCCCTCCACCAGACGTGTGTGCAGCAGGGTTTGTAGGTTTGCGAGCACGTATACCCATGTCCTTCTTGCAGCAGCCTCACAAGCACAAAAATAATCCTTGCCATTTGAATGTACTGTGAAGTAATCTCAGCTGACGTTAGAAATTGAGGAAGGGATGAAACATCTAGGATGTCAAATCTAAAGCGTGGCTGAGGGAGATGCTCATTGACAGTCAAGCCTGTAACCTTTTAAAATTATAACTCTGTGCAGGGGATCTTTGTGCACGTTCTCTTTGTGGGAGAACCTATACAGCCACTTCCCTTCCCACAGGTTTGACACTAGGTTTTGACTTCTTCAGAGGGAGAGAGTTTTTTTCAATGAACATAAGCCAAAGGAAATTTAAAAAAAACAAAACTTGGCAAACAATATGGTCATCTCCCCCTAACTTATTCTACATTATAAAAACAACCCAGACTGTCTCATAACATTACAAATGCTTAGGCAGAACTGATTACATCGAAATAAATAGGAAAGAAGCCTCAGGTATTATCACAGGGGAAATGACAGGCCCAGCACCACGTTAACTGTGAATGGCAAAGCATCTGAAAATGGGGTTCTTGGGAACTGAGGTCCTGGTTCTCTTTAGCTTCAGAGTGAATCTATATAAAAATAAAAGATAAGAGATATGCAGTAACTCACAATCCCCTTGTTTGTAGCAGACCTGCCAGAGAGTTGTGCTCTGTAGTTGCTTTATGGTCATTTTTGCACTTCTTTGTATTTTAGTTGCTATGCATTAACTAGAGCTGGTCAAATAATGAGAGAAAATTGGTGAGGAAAAATGTATCTACAGAGCTTTCTGTTGCTTGTTAGATCAGTTGTTCGGTGAATATTAAATTAACTATCCATAGGTCCATTTGAATAATAAAATACTTGGCTTACAAATTATTTATTCTCAAGACAAATGGAAAAAAAATGTGCCCATAAATAATTTGGCTAGCTCTAGCATTAATGGTGTTGATGTGAGGTGGTTTGATGTTGTGCCTTGCTCTGTAGCTTGTGAGAAATTATAGTGTGTAGAAACTTTTGCTTGTGAAATCTAAATATAAGGAAGCATCAGGAAAAAAAAATAACAGCTGCAAGTATATAAATGTACTCTCCATTTTTAAAAGAAAATTGGAAACACTGCTGTGCTAATTAGCTGCTTCCAAGAAAGCTCAACATATTTTCCCTTTCCTTTTTCTTAAGAACACAATTTGCAGGGCCTTATCTGAAACTAAAGGCACCGGGAGAGTGTTACCTAAGTGGAACCCAAGGGGCACTTTTATTTAAGGAAACTGTGCACGTAGAGTCTCTTTATGGCTGTTGGCCAACATCCCTCAGGGCCGCTCTTGCGTCACATGAAGTTGTCTAACAACACGGAAGTACAAGCCCATGCGCTGGGGAACCCCCGTTTAATCACTGGTTCCACCGACAGGCCTGTTAAAATGGAGGGTCTCTTTGTAGTCCCGGAGTCAGGAGCTTTCTAGGGCTTGCCATGCCTAGGATGCCAATGATCAGTTCCTCAG